AAAAAAAATATGAGTGCAGGATATTTTGCATAAATCATGTTTTTAGTTTCATTTGTTTTTGTGTAATCTTGCAGTGAAAAAAGGCCCCAGCCTTATAGATACCCAGTCCTCCTTCCAACTCCCAAGAAACTGCAGCTTTGCTGACGACCTAGAGCTGGAATCAGAGCGAGAAAGTGAACTGGCTCCAGCTAGCACAGTAGCACAGTGAGTTTGCCATCACTCTTCTGCAATCTTCTTACTTTAGAGGGTTTATGTGGGAGTGAATCTTAAACAGCAGACACGAGATGGTCTGCTTGTATTTATTTATTTTTTTGTCTGTTTTCAATTAACCTTAGTAAAATGCAAACCCCAGAGGGTTCATGATTCTATACTACAGAGGATCCCTAGTGTTTTCTGAAGCACTTACACAGCTAGTGACAGATACAAGGGACTGAGTCCTAAGTAATCGCAATATAGTATAGGTGCACAGTAAGTAAAAAAATAAGTGTTCAGTTATGACACATGGGATTCACTTTCTAAACACCAGTGCAATGATGCAGAGTGAGAATTGCACACAGCAGTTTTGCTGGCAAGATAACTCTGTGCTCTGTTGGTCTCCAAAATACATAACCAGCTGTTCTCACAGAACAAAACCCCATCAAATCCCATGTTAAATGGAATCATTGTGAAGCACACAACTAATTGGGGTAATCATGGCAAAAGACCACAGTGCAAAATAAATCTTTTTAAGTTTCTTTATAGTTCCAAAGTTGATTTGAGAATACGTTCCAAAATGTCTATTGTTTAATTATATAAATGGAGGAAATGTTCTGTTAAGGGTTTTACAGACATCTAGGATTCTTGAAATGCAATGATCCAAACATCAATTGCAGTTCTTACTGCCAATATTACAGTACAATATGATTTTGAAATTAAAGATTACTGGGCTGCTGAGAGTTTCTGCAATAAACATTTTTTGTTTTGTTTTTGGGCAAAGATAAGAATATTTTTTTTTTGGTTTTAAAAAGTACCCATGAGGCAGAAAAGAAAATGCAGATATTGGTCTTTTTTTCTTTTAGTGTTTCAGGCATGTCTCTTATGTATGTTGTATTTATTTAAAGCTCCACAGATTTTCAGATGATAGAAGGATATCTTTTTATGTAGAAAATTATTTCTGCCATACCTTACATGACAGAATTTTAATGCTACAGTAACCCAATGTTTCTTCCACCATTAAATATCACTGGAAGATTAGGTACAAAAAGTCATTTCTAAAACATCTAGATATCTCTCTGTCAGGAACTTGTAAATGTTTTAAGCAGCATGGTTTTCAATTCATTTAAGTTAAAGTTCCAATTTTGAGATGTTTCAGCTTTGATGTAGAATTCTTCTTTTTTAGTCTAAAAGTAAGCTTACAATACAACATGCAAATCTAAATATATTAAGCATTGTTTTTTTGCTGAGTTTATATTGTAATACTTTATATACTGCCTCACTTTTTATGAACATAACTCAATGTTGCCTCTTAATTCACTTCTGTTATCTTACTTTTAAAGTGCCTTATAACAACTATTGTTTTGCTGATGCCATTTTTCGGCTCGGATACCGATTCCCAATACCTGGGTGTGCAGTATTGGCCAGTACCGATACCATACCGATACCATCTGTTTAAATTGATGTGTGTTTATATATGAAGAACTGCATACTATTTGGATGTAAAATAATTGCCATCATGGCTTTGTCAAGCTGTTGCCTACCTTTGCGAAACTAATACAAAGTGAATCCAGCAGAACTTTTTATTGCCTATCTGGAATGGGTGACAATAGTTGAATAAACTTTTGGCTCTCAAAATGGTATCGGTATTTGTTGGTATTCGCCTTTACCGATACCCCCATTTTAGTGCTGGATCGGGGCCCTGCCCGATACTGGTGTCAGTATCGGCGCAGCACTAATAACAACACATCATATCAGATAAGTTTACAGAGATAATTGCTTTAAGTCATACTGACACTTTGCAGTTTATGGGTACTCAGCTGATCGCATCGAGTCATTGATTTTGTGGAACTTGCATCCCCTGGATGGTGTTATGGCTAAACAGAGCACCAGGCCAGATGTAGCTGCTATGATGAAAAAAAGCAGTGAGGGTATAAGGCTAGAAGTTGAACTAACATATAATGCAACATTGGAGAATAGAAGTAGAGTGGGGAAAAGTCGCCTCTATGTCCTCAAGGAGTCTAAGCCTATAGCAGCATAAAAATATAGACAGTTCAGGATAACCTAAGTCACTTCAACTATAAGCTTTATGTTAAAAAAAAAGTTTTAACTCTAGTCTTAAAAGTAGACTCAGTGTCTCTTCTAGGAACCACTAGTAAACCTGCAGATTGAGATTGAAGTGCTCTGTTCGGAACATAGGGAACATCAGATCTCTGGTAAAGGATGGAGGTTGGTGGAGGCAAGAAGGGAGCTAGGGAAAAGGAGACTGACACAAGAGGTCAAACAAGAAATATCAAAGAACTCAAATACAATCAAAAATACCTAGAACACAAGAATGGAAATTAGACCAATGAAAACTCAGATAAAACCATGACAAGTTCAGCCTTGAAGTGGCAAATTAATGCACTAGTTTCTTTGCATCACCCCTGGACAAAATATTTGTAATCTTGCAGTATTTCAGAAATAAAAGAATAAAATTACATAAACCTGTTTTAATATGGGGTATAAATAACAATTAATGATCAAAAATAACACCAACTTATTACCAGAGGCCAATTCAATGGCATCCAGATGGAGTGCCTGACTAAAAAGCTTCTAAAATAATATTGTAATTGTATGATTTTGATTATATGACATTGATTGTATGAAATGCAACACTGAGAACTAAAAGGACAAGTACAGATACAAGTCAGTTTTCTGTGGCCATGAGGGATATCATCAGTGACTTTCACCAGAGCTGTTTAAGTATAACAATGAGCCCTAAATCCTGACTGAATTGGATGTAACATACAAAGTGAAGGCTTAGATGAAGATTTTAATTTTCATAACTATGAAAACTTAACTGTATCAAAATCCAATACTAACACAGTTCATGTTCTTTAGTTACTGCCAATGCTGCCTCACTTACTGAGGATGAAAAAACTGATTGTAAGGATGTCAATGATTGAATTCTAAATAGAATTAATCTTATTTTGAAAGTCCTCCAAGTTTAACTGACTAAATACCATCTGAAAAAGCAGAAATATGTGTTTATTCTACAGAAATAATAATGTGGGTTAAACACGTCTGATTAAATTTGATTAGACTGTAATTACAGACTATATAATACAAACACATGTCCATGGTCAAACATTAAACAACAGATACAAAAACTGTCACTCTTTTATTTTATAATTTTATCACAAGATTTCAGCATTTTAGCTTGTCTTCTGTTAAAATTAACTCTGCAAGCTTATCAGATTCATTTTACATAATAATAATAAAAGTTCCTTTGAAGATGATGACGATCATGATGTCCTTAATTTTCTTTTAATACTTTCATATAGCAACATTCATTAATATTATAAACGTCTCAACTATTCAAACTTCATTTTGAGAGCATTTCAATATCTGCCGATGAAATTAATAGAAAACGTGATGCACTGTCTGGGCTTTGGTTTTATCACTAAACCATTTTCCTTTTATTATTAAAATGATTTCTATAATAGCCCAGAGATCAAATAATTGACATTTCATTGTGTTAATTTGACCACTTGTTATGATAGCCAGATCTGAAAAATCAGCCTTTGAGAGGTCCACAATGAGACTCTTACAGACTTTGTTCCACAGCAAACATGACTCGCTGCCTTCCCACCAGACATTCATATTCCCTGCTTTTTCACAGTAATGAACCTCTATAAGAATAAGTTTAAAAAAAATGTCCTGAAACCTAATAATGCCGGCTAACTGCCTTACAATCACTATGGGCTTTTTCCTATTTTTCTCCCACCTTTGTTCTTACTGTTCATCACCTTGGTAACGCTAAAAGGAAGCTAGGTAATGAGGTAGAAGCTTTGATGTAGACTGCAGAGGCAAGAAGAGCATGCTTCATATTTTGGTTCATATTTTCTTTGGCCTTTTTCCTGATACCTATTACACTGAAACAAATATCTAAGAAAGGCACAGAAGGCCATGGTTTAATTTCATGTTTTTTGCAGGAAATGTTAGTGTGATGCATCTACTGAGAAAGTTTGTGATATACGAACTAAGAAGCAAAACCTCTTAAAAAAGAAAACCTTTTTGTCACAGTTTGACAGAGTCGCATCGAAAAGCCATCCGTGTGATACAGAAAATGCGTTACTTTGTGGCCAAAAGAAATTTTCAGGTAAGAGCACATTTTTTTCAATTACTTTATTATGCTTTTTTTTAGCTATTAAATTGAAAACTTTTTTTCTATCACGATTGAACAAAGTAGAAGGATAAAAGTAGCTTTTGCCACAGCCAACCCTCTATTAAGCAAGTAGGTAAATGTTAACCCTGTTCTCTTTATTCTAATAAACATGACAAAGCCCTTTAATAGAGAGGATAGACATGAAGAAAACATAAATATTAAAGACGACATTAAGCTTTTCAACTGATACAGACGTTTACATGAAAACATAGAGACCTAAGGGCTCAAACTGAGGTATGTTTCTTTATGCACTTATATAGAAAGTAGATTGTCTACATGGCCCTGAAACTTATACAGAGTTTTTTAATGAATGCCTAAAGCAATCAGTAACAAAAAATAAAACAAAATGAAAAATAATAAATAAAATAAGAGTGAGGTTAGTTTGTGGATTACTAACTAAACCCCTGACCTGCATCTAAATGTGATCACTTTTAATAAATATAAAAAGATGTAAGAAGGTAAATACATTAAGCTTTGGTGTTGCTGAAGGGGCCTAGCCGTGCTGTGAGTCTGAATTTTTTTTGACAGTAGCTTACTTTGGTCACATACAAAGACTTTCCAATTAAATTATGGCACCTTAGGAGCTTATTATATTTAGTGTATATGTTTAAAATTTTGGGGTCTTTTTGTGAGGAAACTTAAGCATTTTGTGAATTGAAAGAAAATAAAACATTGCACATGCACGTAATAGAGTTGCACATACACACAATGACAACAAATAAAGGAATAGAGTCAGGTAACTCAGCATTTCCCCAGTGGCAGTATGAAAAAAAGAGGAAAAGTCAATTATGAAGTGTGCAAAAGTGTGTAAAGATATTGGATGCCGAGATGGGTCAGAAATGAGTAGTATTCAGAATATAATGAAAGAACATTGGTCTTTACTGAAGCTGCAGCTAAAGCTGTGAAGCTGTCAAGGTTATTGATGCATAATTTAGTATCTTTTGCCAGCAGATGACAACATACACCGATGTTTTTGTCAGCGGCTAGGTGGAAAAAGATTTTTGCTACTCAAAAATGACAAAGTAAACACTATCAGGTGGCGTATATTGGTTTATTTGCAGATTAATATATATATATATATATATATATATATATATATATATATATATATATATATATATATATATATGTATGTGTGTATATTTATATATATGCATATGTGTGTATGACATGTAATGTGACTAGGCCACTTTTAAGAAAATGTTCAAATGACTTTTGTCAAAACTGGTTTGGAGATATATTATTAATATAGATTACTTAGGGATAGACTAGAACAAAGGCAGATAATTTTTTTGTTATAAATATTGCTCGGGAAGGGTTAGTGTGTTTTTTGGTTTCCAACTAAGTAATAAATATAAATATATAATATATAAATATAATAAATAAATGTAATAAATGGTCCATCCCTTTGACTTGTGCTGAACACCAATGTCCACCTCCTTAACCAGCTACTGTATGTAGATACAAGGCCAGCAAATTAACCATTTAATTATACTCAAACTCTATCATTAAAATATTTTATGAAATACCCGTGGCACATTTTTAGAAAGTATTACATTATATCATAGGTTTTTGCTTTTTTTAATTTTTATTTTACCACACAAAGCAGTGAAGCAGTACCTAGCATATATACTTTAAAACTGAAAATTACCTCTGTATAAAGCATTAGTAATTGAAAGCGCAGGTAGTTTTTGAAATTACTCATATGAGAGTTGAACTAAACAAGACTTCATTAATTATTATTTTACATAGTTTTCCAGTGCCTTGTCGCCACACCTGCAAACATGTAATTTCAGCATATTTAAACCTCAGTTACAGATGTATATTTATGAACCTTATCCAGGATCTAAAGAACATCCTTACAGGTCACCCACACCCACTATTAGTTGACTTGCATTTGTCTTATGACAAAAACTCATAAGCAGCAAACTCCTATAGGGTTTTCTCCATATTGGCCAATTAAAGGAAAACTGATTGAAATTGCTGTGTACAGAATTAAGCTTTGGTGTGTGGGTTGTGGATATCCCCAATGAAGCAAATGTGCACCAGTCTCAGCAGCAGATATTTAGAAGTAACAATAGCACAAAGAAGATTAAAAAAACTTTGCATTGCTTTTATTCTTTAGAAAAATTAGATATGTCTGTAGAACAAAGGTCTTAAATATTAATGAACTAATTATCTTTTTTTTTTTTTTTTAGCAAGCCCGTAAGCCATATGACGTTCGAGATGTAATTGAGCAGTATTCTCAGGGTCACCTCAACCTCATGGTTCGAATCAAGGAGCTACAGAGAAGGTATACTCTTGCAGTACAATATGATTTTAAGATGTTTAATACATTAGCACCCAGGAGTACAGTAAAGTGCTTATATGAAAGTGCTTATAATTTATATAATTTGCAAGTATATTGAGAAAGGTTCCCTATTCCTCTGTCAACATGTTTTGCAGATCAGAAAAGAGGAAATATGACAGATGAACCACAAGGAATCTATAAATATTCTTCTGACCTGGGCCCTCTTTTGTTTCTCTCAGGCTAGATCAGTCTTTAGGGAAGATGACTTTGTTCCAGACGGGTTCAGGTAATAAATCACTCCAGTTCTACCTTGAAATGGATGAGATAAACTGTAAAGCAAACACTGCACCTAATGGTCTATTTGAAATGTCACTGTCTAATGTCAACCTCTAAAGACCGAGCCAGAGATAAAGGAAACAACTCTATTGGATCCAGGCTCAACAGGATGGAGGACAAGGTGGGAACTATCATTAGACATGAACACTCTTCATTAAAATTGCATTTTCATTTTTGATTTTCCTTTTATTTGTTAAAAGAAAAAAAAAACTCATATTCACAGGTTTTAAGCTTCTATGAAAGAACAGCTGGGAAATATCCATTAAGGAGAATGTTAACAGCATATTGACATTATCAACGGTTACAGGGCAAGTGAAAAAAATTTCGAAGCCAATATTAGTTAAAATAGCAATTTAAATTAAGACTGTTGTAAGTGTTCAAAAAATTCTGGTTACTGCTCTGACGTGTGGCATGAACTGTACCGCAGAATATAGTCAGCATTCAGCCATTTAACAGAGAATCAGTAGCGAGTGGATAAGTACAGGTCCAGCATGGTTCAGTGCTTTTCAAATAGTCTGTCGATACTGCCAGAAAATACCACAGGAGTTTGACTTCCATAAAGAAATTGTTTTTATTGACTGATATACTGGTATGAATGAATGTAGGTGAAAAGGGAGAAATGAAGCAAGAAGCAGCAGTGCAGGAACCAAACTTTAAAAATTTTTACACACTTTACACATTTTTACATTTTACTATGAAGTAACACACACATATGTGTACAGTATATATGTTTGTATATACATATATATGTATGTATACAGTATACATGTTTATATATGGTAAATGGTAAATGGCATGTACTTATATAGCGCCTTTTTTCAAGTCAGGAGACTTGACCAAAGCGCTTTACACTACATTCATTCACCCATTTACGCACACACTCACACACTGATGGTGGCAAGCTACATTGTAGCCACAGCTGCCCTGGGGCTCACTGACAGAAGCGCGGCTGCCGTACACTGGCGCCACCGGGCCCTCTGACCACCATCAGTAGACAATGCAGGTTAAGTGTCTTGCCCAAGGACACAACGACACTGAAAGTCAGAGCCGGGGCTTGAACCGTCAATCCTTTGATTTCAGGGCAAACTCCTACATCCAACACCACTGTCGCCCCACATATATATACATATATATGCATATATATGTGTGTGTATACAGTATGTACATATATGTGTATAAATATATATACATTAGGGGTGGAACGATTCACAAAATCCACGGTTCGGTTCGATTCACGGTTTCTGGTCACGGTTTTCGGTTCGATTCGATACATGTTGATTGTTACACCGAAATCCCATAAAAATTTATGAAATTAATGAAAAAATCCCCCAAAAAATAATGGATTGTAATTATTTTAAATGATCCGCAGAAACCCTGGATCATTTCCGTATGTTTTGCTGCTTTGAATTTAATCATCTGGCGCATGCTCTAACATCTCCAAGGGACTCAGAGGGGAGCAGACGAAGCCACAGTGGGGGCTGTAGGCTTTGCTTTGAGCAGCCGGTCTGGAGCGCAGCGGGGCGGAGCGGGGGTTGCTGACGGAGTATGAGGGATTTCGGGGTTAGCATGACATGTTGCTGTTAGCATAAACAAAACGTGTTGCACAATGCTTGCACACTGTTTTACTTTTATCCACAACTTTCTTTCCGCCGTCACCATAGGTCCCTCTAAATGCAAAGCGCCCCCATACAGCAGACCTATAAAGTGCTGCTGGCGCGTCTTCCAACTCCTGTTCTTTCCCACTCGCCAGTCCGACACAATTCTCCACAACAACTGATTTTTTTCCCTGCTACACCCGGCTAAGCTGCTTCGATTCTTCTTCTTCTTGTTTACTACTGGCGGTTGGCTTTAGTCGCAGCACCGCCACCTTCTGCTCTGGAGTGTAATCGCTTCCCCTATGAGAAAAAGGAGCAGCGCATGAACCGAACGAAACACACGCGAACCGAACCGAGACAGTCGAACCGAACGATTCTGACGGTTTTCATAAATCGTCCCATCCCTAATATACATATATGTACAGTATATATATATATATAAACGCACCCATCGGGGGCAGTCTTCCCCCCTTTTTTTCCTCTAAGCTCTGGTCCTCTACCAGAGGTCTGGGAGTTTGAGGGTTCTGCGCAGTGTCTTTGTTGTTTCTAGAACTGCACTCTTCTAGACCGAGGTGTCTGATGAATTTCCAGGGATCTGCTGTGACCACTCTTCAAGTTTGGGGGTCACTGCCCTGAGTGCCTCAATGACCACGAGTACCACTGATGCCTTGACCTTCCAGGTTTTCTCCAGCTCATCTCTGAGCCCCTGGTATTTCTCTGGTTTTCTTGTTATTTTTCCCTAATGTTGCTGTCATATGGTATTGCTATGTTAACCACAATGGCTTTCCTCTGCTTTTTGTCCACCACCACAATGTCTGGTTGGTTTGCCATTACCATTCAATCCGTCTGTATTTGGAAGTCCCATAGGATCTTGGCTTAATCATTCTTAACCACCTTTGGAGGTGTTTCCCCTCTTTGACCTTGGGGTTTCCAGCCCATACTCTGCACTGATGTTCCTGTATACTATTCCAGCCACTTGATTATGGCGCTCCATGTAAGCTTTCCCTGCCAATATCTTACACCCTGCAGTTATGTGCTGGATTGTCTCAGGGGCCTCTTTGCACAGTCTGCACCTGCGGCTTTGTCTGGTGTGGTAGATCTGGGCCTCTTTTGCTCTGGTGCTTAGGGCCTGCTCCTGTGCAGGCATGATGAGTGCCTCTGTGCTGTCCTTCAGTCTGGCTTTGTCTAGACATTGGTAAGATTTTCTGATATCTGCCACTTCAATTATGTTCTAGTGGTACATCCCGTGTTGAGGCCTATCCTCCCATGACGGAATCTCTGGCACCTTATCTTCTGTTCCCCATTGTTTGAGACATTCAGTGAGGATGTCGTCTGTTGGAGCCTTGTCCTTGATGTACTTATGGATCTTGGATGTTTCATCCTGGATATTGGCTCTTACGCTCATTAGTTCTCTGCCTCGTTCCTTACAGCTGGCGTACAGTCTCAGGGTACTGGATTTGGGGTGGTTCCCTCTGTGCATGGTTAGGAGCTTTCGTGTTTTAACGTCTGTGGCCTGTACCTCCTCCTTTGGCCAGCTTATTATTCCTGCAGGTTATCTTATTACTGGTAGAGCATAGCTATTTATTGCCCGAGACTTATTCTTGCCATTGAGCTGGCTCCTTAGGACCTGCCTTACTCTTATTCGTTGGAGGTATTTGGCCATAGCCACTTTCCTTGTTACCTCTTTGAGGTTGCCATTTGCTTGTGGGATTACAAGGTACTTTTAGCTGTCTTCATTGTCTGCTATTTTTCCTTCTGGGAGTGAGACCCCCTCTGTGTGAACTACCTTCCCTCTCTTGGTTACCATCCAACCACACTTCCTCAGTCCGAACGACATCCCAATGTCTTTGCTGAAGATCCAGGTGGTAGTGATCAGTGAGTCAATGTCTCGCTCATTTTTAGCATACAGCTTGATGTTATCCATGTAGAGGAGTTGACTGATGGTAGCCCCGTTCCTGAGTCGGTACCCGTAGCCAGTCTTGTTGATAATTTGGCTGAGGGGGTTCAGACCTATGCAGAACAGCAGTGGGGACAGCGCATCTCCTTAGGATATTCCACATTTGATGGAAACTTGAGCAAGTATCTTGCCACAACCTCATTGAGTTTGTAATAAAGGTTCTTAGAGTCCTGTTGATGTTGTATAGCTCAAAGCATTCAATGATCCAAGTATGCGGTGTTGAGTAGTAAGCTTTCATGTAATCAATCCAGGCAGCGCTTATGTTAGTGTTTTGGGTTCTGCAGTCTTGAGCAACTGTTCTATCTACCAGGAGTTGGTGTTTGGCACCTCTGGTATTTTTTCTATTTCGCTTTTGAGCTCCGCTCATGTATTGATCCATGTGCCCACTTATCTTAGCCGCTATGATCCCGGACATGAGCTTCCACGTTGTGGAGGGGCAGGTTATGGGCCGATAGTCAGATGGGACTGTGCCCTTTGAGGGCTCCTTCAGGATCAGGATTGTGCACCCTTCGGTTAGTCATTCAGGGTGGTTCCCATCTCTCAGTAGCTGGTTCATTTGTGCTGCCAAGTGTTCGTGGAGAGCCATGAGTTCCTTAAGCCAGTAGGCATATCAGGGCCTGGTGCTGTCCAGTTTTTTAATACCTGAGACTCTTTCTTTGATGTCTGCCACTGTGATGTTGACTGGATTCTATTCGGGCAGGTTGCTGTGGTCATCTGTCAGAGCTACCAGCCACTGTGCCTCCCTGTTGTGTGTTGCCTCCTTCTCCCATATCTCTTTCCAGTACTGTTCAGTTTCCAGCATTGGTTGTGATGCTCCGTTTCCCCGTTTCAGCAGTTGTGATACAAAAGATTCTAAAACAAATAATTTAAGCTCTAGGTTAGAGAAATTGGTTCCTGGTATGTTTTTCGAAAGTGCTTTGTTGAATGACATATTTCATCTATTTGCCCTTTAAATACATTTGAGAGAGATACAGTCAGCAGATGTTTTACTAATCTTGTTTTACTGTTAGAAGATGCATTTACTGTTCTGGCAATCTTTTTTTATTGATTTCAGTGAACAGTTGGCAGATTCTTAACTTCTAAATTTGTATATTGTTTATTACTTCCCTACTGGGAAAAGGTGTGTGTCAAAATAGTAGTATGACATTTGCTTTCAATATTAAAGTATGTAATCTTCTGACAGGATTTACCAAGAAGATACCCCTCTTAACTTAAAAAAAAAACCTCCAAGGAAATTAAAAGTATTTAAATGTATTCTTATGTGTTGGAACTCTCATAGATAACACACATGGACCAAACACTGAGCCGCATTGCAGAGTCCCTCACCTTCCTGCTGGACCAGAGGGATGTCACTGGTGGTGAAATTAGAAGCAAGCTGAGACCTCGGCTCAGACGAACCAGTAATGTTCTCCCTAGTCAGGACAGCTTGCCAAGTAATGACCAGCTGTCGCCTTCATCCTTCTCCAACAACACCAGCACTGTGCAGTGCCCCAACCCTCCACTCAACTCCACTGCCAGTCAGGATGAGAGCTGGTGAAACTTGAAACTATACATCCTCACAGCCTTCACGGTGTTTGCTTATCTGTTTATGACGGGTAAACACACACTGAATAGACTCTTCAGTCTACGATGGACACATGTAACTACAGCTGCATTCTGAAATACTGACATGACATCATGAGTTTTGTTTTTTTCAGAACAAACCTTCACCAGGATGTGTAGCATAAGTCAGGATAAACATCTGGGATAAATCCAAGATAGCAGTTTCTATCAAGTCATGTTTGCTGAGCAGTTTTTATTTCCAAGGTCCAATTTTGATATATTTATTCTCTCAGATTGAATCTCTAATCTTTATTTAAATTATCTCTATCTTTTAGAGTTTTAAAATACCATTAAATGGTATTTAAAATCGAAGGGAAGGGGCTGTTCCAACTCTTTTATTTCCGATTTCTCCTGAGTGGTGCCCGACTTTAGATTAGATTAGATTAGATTAGATTAGATTAGATTAGATTAGATTAGATTAGATTAGATTAGATTAGATCAGATTAGATTAGATTAGATTAGATTAGATTCAACTTTATTGTCATTACACAGGTACAGGTACAAGGCAACAAAATGCAGTTTAGGTCTAACCAGAAGTGCAATAGCAGCAAGTGCAGGATAAATAATGGTTCCATAAGTACAGGACATGGATTTCTACTGAATAAGTATAGAGATGAATACCATTATAAACAGAATTTTACTGATAGATTTGTCCTATGAATATAATATATAGATAACTAGTGTTATGAACTAAATTTACAGCTGGATATGTATCGAATATAATATACAGGTGGATATTACTCTAAAAAGGGTTTTTATAGATATGTACAATAGCATAATTTTATTATAACAGAGTTTGCAGGTAGATATGTACTATGACTATTGTACAGATGGCTATTACTATAGGCAGAATTATAAGCATAATATACAGATGGATTTTACTATAAAATGAATAAATAAAGTTTGGACAGAAACTATCTGAATTAAAGTGCAGTGGAAGGTAATTGCATACTACAGTTAAAGTACGGTATTGTAAATGTATATGTAAACAATTGGTACCGTGAATAAGCAGTCGGCAGTTCAAATCAATATTCAGTCAAGGTGAGTAGTGCAAGATGCATGTAAACAATTATTACAATAGTAACAGTCAGCAGTGCAGGTGGACATTAAGGTCTTGTAAATAACAGAATAACAAAATGGAGATAGGTGTAAGGAGGGAGAGGAGAGTCTATCAGTGAGGATTAGAGTTCAATAAAGAGACAGCTCTGGGGGAACTTTATACGAGTGAATAAAGTGAATCTGATTGGTCGTTTATCAAGGGGATGGGATTGTTGTTTGCGGAAGGTTTCGCAAGCAAGTATGGTTGTGGCCGGTGTCTCTGAAGCATCTTGTTAACTAGTTAGCAACTTAGTGCTAGTAGGTTCCCAATGGGAAATTACATAGGGACCAAGTAGTACTAAATTAGTGACTTAGAAACGACACTTTCAAGGAACACTATGGACAGCGGAAACATGCAAGAGGAGGAGAGTTTAGTGTTGGAGGTCGTGGATGTGTCTCCTCCATCATACATTTTCTATTTAGAGGAGGAAAGCGGGGACAAAGATTTTGTGGAAGAGGACGCCAGGGCAGCAGAAGCTTGGTTTGGTGTAGAAGGCTTACAGCCATACATGTTTGAGCCCTTGCCTCGCAACACTGCCAGTTCTGTTAGCTCTACGCCTGCTGAAGACACAGACGTCCATCCCCTTGAACACTGGGATGTAACCCAATGGTAAAGTAAAGGATTCTTATTTCTTATTTCAACTGTTGCGTATATTAGCTGCGACATAGGAATCAAGATGCTATGACTGAAAAAATTAGATTGACAGATGATTGTTGATATATGATTGGCCGAATTTAGGTGCACAAGCTGACGTATAACAAACTGGCCTGCATAAAATAATGAGGGAAAAAAAACAGATTTAAAGACAGGATTTTTTAATCAATTGAAATTTTGGGACAATATAGTCTGATTAAGAGTACATTTATATACGTACATGTTTATCCCAGAATGATTTGACATTCAAATATGACTCCCCTACCACTTTAATGGAATTAAATGACCCCACATTCAAAAACGGCTTTTTGGCAGCATATTTTTCTGTCAGCAAAGAGTCTTGCTTTGGTTTTTACATTTCTCATAGGTTTCAGGTGGGTTTAAAAGTTTGCCATATTGTTGAAATAAGGGCACAGTGAGGTTCAGGTTACAACCACACCTTTGCTCCCTGGAATGATTCTGATGTCGCTGACAGTGACGAAATGCAAAAATGTAAACAGTCCACACTATTATTGTACAGGTGCAAATAGAGCCGATGTTGTATTTTTCACACTGTTATCGGAAAGTTACCTTTTTTTTTCCTTTTTGTTGCAAAACATGATACTGATAAATCTTTGTAAGCTCCTTAAAGGAAACCGAAAACAACTTATTAACAACTTTTATAAAAAGCTTGAAACCCTACCTACCCTCTCCTAAATTCTTTTTTTTTTTTTTTTTTTACAATAATTGCAAAATAAACTAAATTGCCGTAACTCCTAAGTTTTTCCTTCTTCTTTTTTTTCTAAATGTCACATTTATTTTCTTACACTAGTGCAGGAAGGAGCCACTCTTTCCATTTAAGATTTTTTATTTGTTTTTATGATTTTACTTAAGTCTGCAACATATGTTGAATTTATATATATATATATATATATATATAAGAACAAACTTAATGTGTATTTTTACACCTCTTTAATTCTTTTAATATATGACATTGATATTCATTATGAATAGTTCACCTTGTAACCTGAGCAATGATGTTGCATTACTTCAGATGTTATAACTTAAAATATTGTAATTGAAAATTTTTCAAGCTGCTCCCTAAAAATTTGGCAATGCCTCAATACGATATAGTACATTTAAGTGTTCTGACTCTTTTTTTCAAACATTTCTGTTACATTTGTGCTAAAGAGGAAATCACAATGCCTTATACATTTCTTCAAAATTATTTAACTTTTATTCTACATGTCTGGGATACTCTACAACAATAAAGACTTAAAATTGAAAAAAAATGTGGTGGATTGAACAATCTTGCAGAGCTTCTTTTTGGTATTTGCAGCACTGAGTGAATTCCATTGCTCTGTACTTGTGACATTCTAATGACAATAAAAAAGCTGGAAAAAAAAGTTTGATTTATTTTTGCACCTTTTTCTTTAGCTTATTCAGAAAAAAAATACCAAGCTGTAACTAATTTAAGCTCTTTTTCAGGATTTTTGCAGCAATATTTCTTTCAGTGCTACAACAAAAGGGTTGGGTTTTTATACAAAGAGTTCAATGCATTTTTTTACATAAGTAACCTTTAGGCAGCAGATGGTGACCTCACTCCAGCTGGCCATCCATGGGGTGCCGAGGCATTCCTTCACACAGCTGACTACATAGAGAAAGGCCCCAAGTGACCATCTGCCTCTGATGACCTACGACAATAGGCTGAAACCTCCTGAAGTGTGCTGGAAGACTTTGGCCTTTGTGCCGACTGGGAGCCATTGACTGAGTTTTATTACATTGATTGTTTCGAGGGTAGAGTTCTGTCTTAACAGTTTTATTGGTCTTATTTAGGTTATAAACACTCAAAACCAGTTTCTTAGGCTTACACTTAGACAACTTTTCAGAGTGTATTCAAAACGAAATTTTGTTTAGTACAGCTTTTCAGAAAAGTACATGAAAATTTTTCATTCCATAAAGTTGAGCAGTGATGATATGTAAACAGTGTGGGAGAAAAAATATGGTGCAGAAAACGCATTGATATTGAAGTTCAGAGCATTTATACATATGATGCTCATACATATGATGATAATATGCAGGTTTGGTGTTATCAGTGTGATGCATAGTTCGTCACATGATTAGAGTTGTTTTTTTGTTTTTGTTTTTTTAACAGTTCCACATGGCAACAGTTTCAAATGGAGATTTTACACAGATAACATGCTAAATCTAACTCTTTTTTTTTCTATCTGTCTCTGTCTTAAAATAATCTAGAGTTGAAATCAACAATGATTTCAGTTGCTTCCCTAAAGGACTCCTTATCAGATTTTCAAAAGAACCTTGGTTATTTGGACATATCTTATTTTGAGCAAGCTTAACTCAAACAAAGGGTTTAGATGTATACTAAAGTAAAATTTTATTAATTGGTTTTTATTTAAAAATTGACAGGCACTGTGGTGAAATGGACACATTGTACCAAAAAACAATCAAAATAGGACAGGAAAACAAAAAGAGGAAAAACCAATTCACAATTTATAGAGATAAATTATTTATAAACGTTTCATTGGAGACAATTGTTGTTGTTTTTTTTGAGAATTTGTAAAGAAAAGTTTTGTGCAACAAAACCTTTGGTTGTTGCATGATGTTGATTATACAGAAATCGCTTCTAAGCAATCACCTACCAATAGTGGGAAGGAAGTGTTCTTTTTTTTTTTTTTTTTATAGGAAGAATCCGCCAGCAAGGCAATTTATGAAGTATCTGGCTGAGGCTTTTTTCTCTGTTAATGGATTATTTCTAATATCTTTACAGTAATATGTCATTATATAATATAATGTTTGAAATTGTTTGTGAATGGAGAAAACATCAAGGTTCATGGAGATCAGCACGGTTCATAAAACATTGTTCTACAATAAACAAAAAAATTTAAGTTTCAAATTTTGAAAGGCCAAAATGACCAGAATTTTCTTTAAGACCAAACCTTTGAACACAGTTGTCATTGTTTTGGTCTTACTTCTTTTTGTTATGATGAATGTGGCTTGTAAACACCTTTCATTGTACTTTATAAGAACTGCACATCCAAGGGAATTTTTTTTACTCATTTAAGTTATGAAATTTCAAGCAAAAAAAAGTTTCGCCCTTATTTTGAAAAACATTTTTATTGAGTGAATTACATTTTGTTCTGTATTCTGAGCTCGCATCTTACCAAGAGCACAGTCCTCTCATAAGAGTAGAAAATATCAGTCTAGGCTGGGGCTGCTTTGGGTGTATGTCATTTCGTTGAGTTGAAAGGAGACAAAAAGGAAAGAAAAAAGGAAGGTCCTGTGAGGGGGTGGAAGGACGTGAGGACTAATTTGCAGGTGAATTAGATGACACACTTTCCTTTGTGGCTATTATGCTGCTCTCCGGCCAGATGGCTCTCCAGCTCCTTTCAGAACTAGAACCCAAACAAAACAGGAGCAAATACGCAAACACACTTATGAGGGATTTATCCTTTCTAATGGGCTAATTTAAAATTGCTGTTAATGGTAATGAATATAATTTTAAGCCTGGCAGCACATTCCTTATAACTGAGATTATGAAAGTCTGCATAATAAGACTCAGAAAATGCAATTACTGTCTAGCTAATTTCTTCGTTTGGTTTCTAAATATTCAGCTCCTTTAAGAGAGACTTTTAGGGACCCATTAATCTGTGGCTCTCACCTAAATACTACCTTATAACCAGAAGCTACCCTGGAAAAAATGTTAAACAAAAAACTAACTAGGAGGTAAAAAATTACATGCCAGTAAGTTAAACAATATTCTACAGGATGTTGTACATTTATAAATTAGGTTGTTTTTTTAAATGGAACTGAGAAAAATATGCTACTTTGAATTATTGAATGCTATTATAAAATACTTTTGCAAACATTTTCTGATTTTATCTTGACCATCATTAACTTATGAAAAAGATTTATTAATTTCAATGATGCTGATTTAAAAAATGCTGACATATTTTTTGATGTGCTTTTAAGCAAGCTGAGATTTAGTAAATTTTAAATATTTGTAAATTTTGCCCATAGATTCTAAAATTTCTACTAAAAAAATTTTGTTTTACATTATAGCTATAAATCATGTGCTTTATTGATTATAAGGGGATTTATAAAGTATAAATGCATGACTCACTCTTTTGTTAGGAAAATTTAAGTTATTAAGATGCAAAAATGTTGTTCATTAATGTTTAAATAAAATAGGGCTAAAACTGAGCTGATTTCAAAATGCACATTGATAAGTAGTTCTATAAAATGTGAATTGTATTGTAGGATCTTCCTTAAGTGCAGCAAGCCATTGATGTGTTTTTGCCTTCAGGGTAAAAATGTCCCCTGTTTGGCACATGTCATTCAGCCCAAAGCTGCTTGATAAGGAGAAATGCTGTAATGTATTTTTTTTTAATTCAAGATGTGAAAGGAAATTGATAAGGATTGTTTTGAATGAAAAATTACAAAAAGATAGATAATTCATTAGCAAAATAATTAAGTGGAGTATTGTTTTTGGTCTGTAGGCTACAGCAAATGTAATATACTGAGCCAGATCGAAATACAATCATAATAAAATCTACAGTATCTGCAGTGGCTTCAATTACTCTGTTTATTAAATCTGCAATGAATGTACACATTTACAAGCTTTTAATTTAAGAAGTTTACAGGTTCAGCAGAGCTGATCATAGATATTCAACTAAAGTAGGGACAAGAAAAAAAATACAACATTCTTTCAATTAATACATCTATAAATAAAGTCAAATAAAATAAGACAAACAATTAGAGATTAAATAAGTAGTTTAAATAAAATGATGGTTTCCTTAGTTCTGTCCATATAATTTGAAAAACAACATGAGGGATCCATTATGTGTTCATCTTATGGTCCGGCACTGAGTTTCCTTGTTGAAATTGGTCTGAAAAGTACTGCTGATGCTCCTTGCTTCTATTGACCTTCTTCTCTTTGTAAAATAATCTGCAAAGAAGAATAAAAAGAAAGAACATTTTAGAGATTTAAAGCTTATTTTGTGACTTTTTAAGGTTAGAGGAGAGAAAATGTGAAAAAATTTTATTACCTGTAATTCTTGCATTCTTTGAATTGGCTCCAGGTTTAGAGAGTGACCTTTTCCTCCGGACAGGAGTCCTTTCAGATTGACACTTAAATCCGTTGGACACACTTAAGCAGTTTTCTTGGTTGGAGCCAAACGGATCGTCGTTATTGCTTACTCTGCCTTCATCCTTGGTTTTTGGAAAATTTACATCAACCGTTGGCTGTGGGGTCTCCTGATAGAAAACGGAAACACAAGCCGCAGGTATTTCCTCCCATTGAAACCTGCCAAGCTGTGGTGTCTCAGACTGGAAGTCAAAGTTCCAGCGCCGGCAGTCCTGCTCCATTATCTCCTTTAGTTTCAGCTGTAATTCTTGATGTAGCTGTTTGTGGTCTACTGGACCAAAGAGGTTCCGGCGAACAGACTCTATGTGTCTAATATTCATCATTCAAAAATTTCAAAGGAGTTTGGATGGTATAACTCTTCTGGCAGAAGATGTTGCGGATGAGTCCCTCTGCTCTGCTCTTTCCATCATGATGCTGCAGGATATTTAAAGGCTACAGAGCACACAATGTTTTGTTTGTACACAATGAGCAAAGACTTCTGATTGGCTGCAGCTGTCAGTAGTAGTTCAGAAGCAACAGAGGGGGTGGAATCGGATCATTGTCTGATGAAACCCATTGATACTCTAAAAGCCTTAAGTCTGCCTTGACAGGCAAAGGTCAATTTAGAATTATCATAACAATAGTGATGTTTTTCCTACTGAGGACACTGTTGATGCATAGGCCGGAGATACTTTAAATCAGGTCATACTACACCCTCGCTTCCTTCCATGTTGGTCTCCATTGTCATTTCAGCACACTGGTGCAGTGGAGGCTTGTGGAGTTTTCTTCAGAGGGGCTATACATTTAAAATAGACGTATTCCAGAAAGCCAGTCAAACATATACTCAGTTATCACACCAGTATATTCACCAGTATATCCACATGAATGCCAACAACAGAAATATAGAAAAACCATTTATAAAAACAAAAACTTAATTTCATGTATAATGAAATTATAATGTCACATATTAAGTTTTTTGTACATAAATCTTGAGGCTTTGTGAAGGCCAATCTTTTTTTTTTGCATGGTCCAATATGGTGCCACAAAACTAAAAATAAACAAGAAAAGGCTGTTTCGGAGAAACAGGGAAGAGGAAATGCTTTTTTCCGCTGAATGAAAAAAGAAAAATTTGCCAAAGAAACTGAATAAAGAAAAAAAAAAAAGTAGAAATTAGCTTAAGAACATATGACAATGTTATAGGAAGTGATCACAGACTTTGAACTGCAGAAAACAATTGAATCATCAGAAGATTTTGCTGCACCCTGGGATCCCCAATCCTTTTGCATTGCATAGCAGCTACTGCAAATGTACAACATTTAACGAGAGTCAATGGCCAAAGATTTTTATGCCCTAGGATGGACTGGAAGGGAGTCAAATGCCGATTGTTAGCAGGTCAACCCGTGTTTGAAACACCCACATTGACCCGCTAATTTGGTTGGGAATGAGGTTTAAATGTTTTTTATTGTTTTGTCCTTTTATATGTCCGAATCCCTCTCAACAGTGCTGCAGCATGTTTATCGAATGTAAGCCGAGTTGTTTTGGCTAGTTAGATCAGATGCGTCTGCCGCAGTATGTTGATGACCGTACGTTGCATTCAAAGTTAACGGGTGGACCATGGTTTGATGTTCCCAGTATATGCCGATCAGAGCTGATTTTAACCCGGGTTGCTAGCAGAGTCGTTTGACTCTGGTCAGTGAGCCGTCCCTACTGCCACTAAATGCTGATGGTTGCCAGGTTTGAATGGGTTTTTTGGCCAGTGGGAAAGGGACATATCATTTAAATTTGAAATTATCTATCCTCTGTGTTGCTGAATAAACAAAAAAGAAAAGAAAGAAAGAAGATTTTTTTTAAAGACTCTTATGTGGTAAAAATAGGAGTTGTCCTACTTAGTGCTCTGTAAAAAAAAACTAAAGTGCAAAACAGGTACAAATGTAACAACTAGCTATTGATTTCATTGATTTATTCTGCTATACCAGCACAAATACAAGATAAATAAAGCAAATATATTTCATGCTTATTGTAAGATTTTTAAATCTAGTATGGTGGAGGAAAAGAGAAACATCTTTGTCTGCTCTGTTTATGTATGTCACAGCAGTCACAGCAGACTAGATGGAACACATTTGCTTTGCAATTAAAAAACCAGAGCAGAAATCAGTTTGATTTAATTTAGAAAGACTTCCTTTAAAATGGCCTTACATCAAAGTAGCCGGGACTAAAAAGTATGAAACAAAAAAGGATGAATTTTAAAACAGGATTTAGAAGAAAATTACACTTTTATAAACTTTGATGAATCACATTATGCATCATTTAGCCGTCCAGACTGGATCTCTTTTTACTCACATCAGAGTGAACAAAATGGTTATAAGCAGGACTCTCTGAACATGAGGACTAAATAACCCAAGATTTAACTACTGGTTTCTAGACAGGCAGATGACTACTCTAACACTCTAGGATACTCTAAGAACACATTGTCCTCTGAAATGTTTAATGTTCCACAATATTTGACGTTTATTAGTGCAGGTCTTCTACTTTGATTTTTTATGTACACTTTAATGGAGTGACAGCGACTTAGAGTTTGTTTTGTAACCAGCCGATTGCCGGTTCAAGCACCTGCTCAGTCTCTCGCAGTCATTTATATGCTTGAGCAAGACTCTTTACATTACCTGCTTTGCCTTCTGCTGAAGGGCATATTTGCTTCTTGTTGTAGGTAGCTTCAATTAACCATCAATGTGTGTATGCAGGGGTAACTATTGCAGGAGTTCAAACCAAACGTTAAAACAAAGCAGAAAATGTTAAATATAAATGTGAGGTGGTTGTTGGAACGGCTTGTCTGATTATGAGTTTTATGCTTATTGCATCAACACAGACCACAGGCAGGGTAGTTTGAGATGACAATGTCCTCTTCTTAAAACTAATGTGTACAGTGACCACAAGTTTATAACCCATTAGCAATTCTGCATCTCTCCCCTCTTGGAAAGCAAAGTGTTTAACCTTTTTTCAAAAGAAAAGCTTTTTTTGTCGTTCTTCAGCTGCAAACCAGACAAGGTCTTATCAATACAAACTACAAACAAAAAATGTATTCAATTTCAAAATAGATTCCGAAAAAAATAAAAAAAAATACCGGTAGATTGATAATAGACAGACAGACAGACAGACAGACAGACAGACAGACAGAGTAGAGTAGAGTACAGTAGAGTATAGTACAGTAGAGTAGAGTACAGTAGAATAGAGTATTCCTTAAAAAAAGAGCCCTGACCATACAAGCTCACTAACTATGTCTTTAATCTAAACTTTAAGCAAAACGCTCGGTTACACTAGCAAAGAAAGCAATGCCTGAGTATTGGAATGAAACTATTAATCTATCGAAAAACTTCTTAAACTATTTAAAATCTACTTAACATCTCAGTTAAACGGAGCAAGGACGCAAATTCTTGTGACCATGGTGTTCTTGCCTTCTGTGATCTAACTACACATGACAACTGATATATAATACACTAATGATGTAGAATCTAACAGATCGCCTTAGGAATGCTGTGAACCTGTCATGATTCGTGGCACTAGAGCTGGTTTGATTCAGGACTAAACACAACTGTCAGCTAGACCCTGTTTCCAATCAGCCTCCATCTCATTCCCCTGTTTACCTGATTATATACTGTAACTAGCTCTCTAACCAGTCACTGATGCCTGTCTGCCTGCCTGATTCTGACCCAAATCTGCCTCCTCATTCTCTCATCCTGCCTGAACCCTTATCTGACCTGTCATAGTGTGTGTTTGGATCTCTGACCTGTTTCTATACCCTGACCTTGCTCTCAGATAATCGTCTAGATTGTCTCTGGTTCTCGGTTCACCTGGCTTTGACTCTGAACCGGTTCTCGGATTATTTACTCTGTTTTGTCCCCTTGATCATTCTGCCTGTCTCTGCCCATCTCTGACCTTGTACATTCCCATGGACCAACGATTAACTGTCAAAGAAGGATTCCTTCAGATCATTCTGGACGGATTCTGGAATCCTCTGGAAACCCTGACCTGCAGCAGTTCCACATTTCAATAAACTGTTTAAACATCTCCTGTTGTTCTGGTTGAATTCTGAGTCTTCCTTATTCTGGTCATTACAGAGCCACAGGATTCCCATTACAGATCTCTTGGTAACACATCTGCAGCAGCTGGATGATCCTGTCAATAAGGGTTAAAGTATCTCATAGAAGTTTCCAATTGCTCATTTGAAATAGGCTAGTATAAAAACTAGGTTGATTTTAAAGGCAAAAGGTAGTCCAACTACATAAAATCAAGGTGTACGAAATAAAGTCGATAATATGGGTTTAATTTGTACTTCATATTTAAACCAAGATTATTTCATCACATTCATTGATCCTCAGTTTTATTTCCGGCATACTCTTTGTAGTGGTGTTGATAATTCTGCAGTATATTTTGTGGTGCCCCCTTTTTGTCAGTTCAGAAATGACAACTAATGCAAAAAGTATGCCACAAATCTATAGAAAAAAGCCTCCTTAAATACTAAAGGTGTGGTCCGGATGGGAACAGAGCAATGTGGCTAACCAACATGCAAAATAACTGTGCACAAGAGCTTCAGGGATTGGCTCGGAAGCAGAATATCTTTATGCAACCTCCTGATGGGCCAGGTGGTTTACCTGAAGGGAAAACGTCTCAGTCTCTCCTGCTGTGGTTAAGGTGAACAAGGGGAAAGGTTGGTGTCGACCATGCCGGAGAAGCAAGACACACCTCTGGTAAGTGCCCGTTGCAATGTCTTTTACCTTAGTTAACACAATCCAAATGTCTACATTTAAGGAAACAACAACATTTATGGCTGTTGCAGTTTTTATACTTTTTTTTTCAATTATAATGAACAAATATGGTAAAATTAATTTAGGAATTAAGTATTTCATAAAGAAAATAATGAGACCTTAACCTGCAGAAGATGTAATAACTGGTGCACTTTTTTAACACCAAAGTACACATTTTCTCAGGGGACTATGTATCATAAATTATATCCTTGCATTAGTAATAACAAAAAAGAGAATACATTTCCCTTAGAGAAGCACCTTGAAACCAAATAAACAAATAGCTTCAATTATACAGGTTAAAGGCCTTTTCACAGAACGATGCTCAGCGAGGATCATTTTTGCATACCTTGAATTGTGCATTCTATAGGTATTTCCTTGTATTTGCATTTGATAAATAGCTATTCTGCTTTGTTAAAACAAGTCCAGTAACAGCTACAAACAGCATTTTGTAAGAATCTGGGAAAAGTAACAGGTCTTCAAATGGTTTAAAAAAGAATATGGCAAATATCAAGGTAATAGCCTCTACTTTACCCTCTCTTGTGTAACAGAAGCAGCTAACAAAGCTTCTGCATTGTGATACACAAGGTTGTTTAAAATGTAAACCAATTTTTTACTCCCTGTAGTC